GTTCTCAAATTCAAATTAATCAAATATTACATAAATATATAAAAACTCACTCAAACAGGAACCAAGAAAGTCCACTGACAGCAAATACACCAAACACATACAAGTTTCGATATTTGAATGCAGTAGTACCCCTYACTTGTCTTGGCTTACCAGAATTTTTAGTTTCTAAGGCCATTTAAGAGAGCGCCTAAGTTGGAAATCTTCAAATAATAACAATAACAAAATAATATAAGATTTATATGAATAATGAATAGAATAGGTATGCTTTTGTTTTTACTTGATAATTTACTAATCACTTAATTATTTCAAATTGGATTTATTAAACTTGTAATTACCTATCACTTTTATATCGTATAATGAGTACTTTGATAATTTTGGATTATTATTTATTGTTCAAAATATTGTTAAGAGGACAATATACTCACATGTGATGTTTCCAACTAACAAGCATGTAGCATTAAATTTTACGCTTAGCATATCAGATTTAGCTCGGTTAGTTTAAAATTTAGAGTAAATTAAGTTCTTATAAAAAAAAATTTAGTAAAAAGCCTATGACATTGACTAGATAATAATCTTACTAAGACATAAATTCACTATTTTTTTATGGTAACCTAAAATAAAATAATACCTAGTTTTGATAACATATATTTAAGTTTAAATACCTACTATTGAAGTTAGCATCATAAGATAGTAAAAATATTTTATAAGTATCAACTTACAATAGCTTGAACTTAATGTGCTCTTAAAATATTGATTTGTATTTAGAAACATTAAAAATATTATTACTCACTACTCAGTAATTATATTATATTATGTTATGTTGAACCGAATATTGAACAAATCAATTAATTAGGCATTTACTATATAGATATTATTTTACTTTGAATGAACTAAATTACGCATGTTTTAACCATATTATGCAGGCACATTTATAAGACGCAATATTTGAACAGATATGTTTTAGTTACTGACACCAATAAATGAATTGTGTTTTAGATTTTTAGAAATAAATAAATAAGAGAAACTACCAAAATTGAATTATGAAACATACCTACTAACAATTATAAACTGAACCTTGATTCTAATGCTTGGAATGAAGAACTGAAATTGTGCAAGTAACTCCAACTCTGTAATTGCCAATCGCGAATCAAGTCGTCAAATAAATAAATTTTTCGGTTATTACATTGAAATTCAACAATTATTCAATTTTGATAATTCTGACTTCAGACCTCAATACCATGCACAAAAATACTACGATCGTCAATCAATGATAACTTACTGTTCCCAACTTCTGTCGTGGACCGTGGTCTCGTGGATACAGGATACAAGATACAAGATACGATTACTACTTAGGGCCAGTAGTTGTACCGTCCACGGACCCACGGTTAAAATTCGATTACGCTTAATCAGCTGATAACAGATATTTAACCGTGAAAATTCAGCCGATTAAACTCCGGTTAACTTTAATCATGAGCTATAGATTATGTGACATATTTATCGCATGCGATAAAATGATAAAATTATCGCATACGATTAATTTATGTCGAACGTTTAAATTGTAGGCTATTTTTGAACT